TTTACCTTAATAATTAATTTGGATAATATTTTCGTATAAGATTTCCGGGTTCCTACGTGTCAAGACTATTCATAATCGGATAAAATTTCCGGATAAGATTTTTGGATTCAAATTTCGGATGAATTTCAAAATTCAAATTTCAGATAAATTTGGGTTCAAATTTCGGATAAATTTGGGTTCAAATTTCGAATGAATTTTAAAATTCAAAATTCAAATAAATTTGGGTTCAAATTTAGGATGAATTTCAAATTTCAGATAAGATTTTCATCCAATGAAATCAAGCCACGTGACATCTCTATCTTGCCAAATTTTTATATCAAACCAGAAGCTCCACCCATACCTCACATCTCTCTATATTTTCATTCTTAGAGTTTAGAATTCATACTCCATTCATTCTCAATGGAAGAATATAGGAGATGCTTGGAGAGGCAAAAACGAGAAAGAAAGGAGAGAAATCGTAGAGCCGATGAAATCAATGAGTTGTAGAGACAAGTCGATGAACAAGTTCTCATAGCAGTGGCAATGGAAGAGGAAGAAAACCAAGGTCGCCGCCGTGGTTCGCAAGTCGGCCGTCGCTGGAATGTGGACAGACATAGGCATTCTCAGGGTAAGAATCTTTTGGAAGATTATTTTATCCCAACTGCTTTGTACTCTGATGTTGATTTTCGAAGGCGATTTAGAATGCAACCCCATTTGTTCAATTAAGTCATGCATGATATTTGCAATTAGGATGCATACTTTGTTCAAAAGTGTGATGCTGCTGGGGTTTTGGGGCTTCTTCCGGAGCAAAAGCTTACTTGCAAATAGTATTTTGTGTTTCCACCCGTTGCCATGGCTATGGGCAGTTACTATTCATTTTTTTGTTTTATTCACAAATTTTTTTAGCTCAATAATTAATTTGGATAATATTTTCGTATAAGATTTCCGGGTTCCTACGTGTCAAGACTATTCATAATCGGATAAAATTTCCGGATAAGATTTTTGGATTCAAATTTCGGATGAATTTCAAAATTCAAATTTCAGATAAATTTGGGTTCAAATTTCGGATAAATTTGGGTTCAAATTTCGAATGAATTTTAAAATTCAAAATTCAAATAAATTTGGGTTCAAATTTAGGATGAATTTCAAATTTCAGATAAGATTTTCATCCAATGAAATCAAGCCACGTGACATCTCTATCTTGCCAAATTTTTATATCAAACCAGAAGCTCCACCCATACCTCACATCTCTCTATATTTTCATTCTTAGAGTTTAGAATTCATACTCCATTCATTCTCAATGGAAGAATATAGGAGATGCTTGGAGAGGCAAAAACGAGAAAGAAAGGAGAGAAATCGTAGAGCCGATGAAATCAATGAGTTGTAGAGACAAGTCGATGAACAAGTTCTCATAGCAGTGGCAATGGAAGAGGAAGAAAACCAAGGTCGCCGCCGTGGTTCGCAAGTCGGCCGTCGCTGGAATGTGGACAGACATAGGCATTCTCAGGGTAAGAATCTTTTGGAAGATTATTTTATCCCAACTGCTTTGTACTCTGATGTTGATTTTCGAAGGCGATTTAGAATGCAACCCCATTTGTTCAATTAAGTCATGCATGATATTTGCAATTAGGATGCATACTTTGTTCAAAAGTGTGATGCTGCTGGGGTTTTGGGGCTTCTTCCGGAGCAAAAGCTTACAGCTCTTATACGAATGTTGGCGTATGGAGCATCTGCTGATCAGGTGGATGAGGTTGCCCGAATGGGGAAGTCCACTATATTGGAGGCTTTGGTAAGATTTTGTGATGCAGTTGAAAATCTGTACACTAGGGACTACCTGCATAGACCTACTCCCAGGGACCTCCAACGGCTTCTACAAAAAGCCGAAGCTCCAGGATTTCCAGGAATGATTGGTAGCATTGACTGCATGCATTGGCAATGGAAGAATTGCCCACCAACACTACCACAACTACCTCCTAACACCTAATGCTTACCGATTGCCCATCCTAACTGTAGCAAAAGATATGTATTTATTTATTCATTTATTTGTCAAAGTTAGGAAGGACAAAGGGAAACTCACACACAGGTACTATGAAAGCTTGAATCTATGACCACTTGGGAGCACGCTAAAGATCTGGATCAATCCAACTAACACCCATTGATAACCTAACCATAGCATTTCCCCAAAGAATAAATGAAGAATTTTTGTATTTTATTGAAGAATAAAATTCGTATTGGATTCGGATTTAATTTTCGGGCCGATCACCAAATTAGGCCCGGCCCAGTGCAGTGGTCATCAAGAGAAATGGCAACCGAGTGAGGAAGTGAAGAATTGACACAAGGGCAGGGCAGGGCAGCGCCATCTCCACTCTCCTCTCAAAATCAATCCGAAAAACTCTCCAAAATCACAGAGAAGGGAACGAAGAAGACAGAAAACAAAATCAGTCATGGGAAGTAGATTGGGGAGGAGGGTAATTCACTTCGCAAACCTACCCATCAAGCTCTTAATGCCCACCAACTTCACTAACATCAGAGAAATCGCTCTCAAAACCATCCCATCAGCTTCCAAGGTCGAAATCAAGCGCGTCCTCGAATCCCTCTACGGCTTCCAGGTCGAAAAGGTCCGTACGCTCAACATGGAAGGCAAGAAGAAGAAGCGCGGTGGCCTATTGTTCGCCAGACCCAATTACAAGAAGGCCTACGTCACGCTCAAGAACCCGCTCTCGCTCTCTCAGGACCTCTACCCGATTGGAGTCGTCGAACAGGAGAGGAAGCAGACGAGCAAGCAATCCAAGTCCAGCGTCGTCGAAGAAGGTGAAACTGAGAAGCATTGGCTTTACGGGAAGGACAAGGAGGAACCTCGGAGGGTTAAGAACGACAAAGGTTCTGCTGTTTTCGGCGACGGTGTGGCCAAATTTCCCTGGAGCACCATGAGGTTTCGCTAGGCAGGTTTGAAGACTTTTGGAACTGGGTTTATGTTTTTTGTTGGGATTTTGAAATTTATGACATTTGAAGTTCGGTGAAAACTTGTGGCCATGTTTGAAGACCTTTCAATAGGACTGGAGCATTTAGCTTTCAAGTAGCAGAATAGTATAATATTTATGGTTATTATCTTTTACTTTACCAATAATTGTGCAAGCTCATATGTGATTAGTACTTGTGAAGTTTGAAATTGTTGAGGATAGAAGCATATTGGAAACTTGCATTGAGTATTTTTCCTATCTCCTCTAATAGGATTATTATGACATATGACTTGCACGACTTTTTTGTTTTTGTTTGATTGATAATCAATGTAACCAGAAAAAAATTACCAAGTACTCCTCCATTCGACTGAAGAAACTTGTTGCTGCTTGGGCATCTCGTGTGACCCATTGCTGAAAGCTTGTAGGCTTGTAGTTGTAGCAAAGGATGTAGTCTGCCAGACGTTCTATAGGAGGCAGAATTACTTTGGAGAAAATTAATGTGTAAGAATAGGAAAACTACAGACATTTTTTACTTTTTATTTATTTTTGTGTATACATTATGGATAGGCAAGCAATAACAAACTATCAACTATCCCTAAGACAGTTGATATGGTGTTCTTAAAGGCTTAACTCTCATATGGTGTGGGGTGTCTTGGCTTCCTAGATTAATATAATTTAGGACATGGATGACCTTCGTCTGGAGGGGGGTCTTCTGCCAGCTGGGTTGGGTCTTTGTTGGCCTTCTCCAGTTTCATTGCCCTCAACTTTTGCATGGAAGGAGTTCTTAATTTTTCTCCATCCCAAACTCCAACCCGACACATTCCTTTGCTTGCTGCCTATCCTTTCATACTCTTGCTGCAGCTCAGAGTAGTCACTCTGCAGCTCTGCCATCTTTATCTTTACATCCTCAAGTTCTGCTTTTAGATTCTTAATCTCTGCATCTGTTGATGAGTGGTTCCCTTCCTGTTCAGAGTTATTGCCACTTTGTGATTCTTTTTCTTGCATCGCTGTCCTCATCTTTACTTGTTCTGAGAAAAGCACCTGCACATGTTTCATATTCTCTTCCTCTAGTGAGAAATGCCAATTTTGATGGAACACATACTGGTTGGAACTGAGATTAAGGGGTCCATGTCTGATAAATCAAATGGTCTTCAAATGCTCAGTTAATTTTGTATGCCTTTGTGAGGATTTTACATCTGTTTAAGTTAAGGGTCTATCTTCTATTAATTTTATTTCCCTTTTGACAGGAATGCATTTGTGAAATCCATTTTTCAGAAGCATTATGGTTTCTGAAATTTTTTGGTGTCATAAAAAGGGGGAATTCAATGTGCATAAAAAATAGAGGAGGTAGAGGAGATAGAAAAACTACTCAATGTGTTTGTAGTATGAATTCAATGTGCATAAAAAATAATGCTACACAACAACAAAAAGGGCGCTTATTGCAGTCTGTAGTAATAGTTAATCTTTTTCCTTTTTTGTTCTCATTGATTTTCTTCTTCTCAAAAGCCTCTCTATTAGTGTCCTTGTGATGCTGCGTATAAATTATAAATACCTTAGCTTGTGGTTGGTAGAGGTTCTTGGGTTGCATTTCTTTTTCCTGTTATTACATATAAACTTTAAGTATCTTTATAATTTAATTCAAATGCAAGCCACTAAATATGTCTTGATAAAAGACCTAGATTCCTTAAGAATATAACTGATATCTTAAATTCTTTAACTAATTTTCAGCAGGGACCAATGATACAAAATTTATGTTTTAACCTCTTGTGTGATTCTTAAATGTTACCTGGACAATAGTTCTCATAGGCAGTCGATCATTTTGTGCAGCGTGCATGCATGCGTCAAGCGATAGTTTATCACAGTTCATTATTCTACATAGCCTTCTCCGGTTATGCTCAGGTAGTGAAGGATGGGTCTGAAAAAAAAGGGTTAGATTTTAGGTTATAAATTGCTTTAGGTGTAAAGTAGAGAAACAGGTGAAAAAGTAACCTTGAGGTAGGTATCAATGGCTCTGTAGAGACCATCATCACATGTCCTTGCATTTTCTGGCAGTAATTCAGCCAATATTTGAAACTTGGTTATGGAGAGGTTTGGGTCTTCGGCAATCTCTGCTAGGTAGTTGTCTAACAGCTTACTAACATTGATTCTAGCAGTCTTCTGTTGCTGTCCTTGCTGCTCATGCATCAAGAAATATTCCACAATCCTTTGCACGACTTCAGTGTCGTGCATTGTGCATTCTTCAGGTGAACTGTACTACACATTATGAAAATTAACAAGAACAAGAGTGTTGGTTATCAATTGACTTCTTCGAAGGATTCTGTTGTAATTATGTTGTTGAATCTGACTGAATAAAGAATGTAGAATACTCACTTAACTAGTTTCCCTTGATCTGCATTATTGCAACTAGGAATCAACAGATCATTCACATTGGCATCTTCTAACATCATCCCCACTCTCTTTTCAAGCTCTGAAATCAAAGCTGGTGATGCAGAGTACAGCATGGCCATCTTTAACATCCTCAATAAGAACTTACATGAAACAGCTTCATTTTGAGGAGGAAGTACGCTCACTAGGCTTTCAATAATTGCTTTTTGCTCCTTGCTGTGTACGTAACCCCCATCCTCTTTACACCTACTCAATACACTGAACTGGAGGTCATTTTTTCCGAACCCGTATCCTCTTAGTCCTTCAAACTCCACATGCATGCCTGTCAACCATCTCTCTGCATAGTGCATGATACATTTACCTATAACTTCTGGTCTTGTACTCTTTGCCTTTATTGCTGTTATAATCCTCATGAAATGATCTATTCGAAAGGTAGCCACTTCATTAAACCACCAGCCTTCTTGACAGTCTGTATCTCCGACAATGTTTACTCTGGAAGTCTTCCAAGCAATTGAGTTACAGCACCTTCTGACAATTTGAAGATTTTCAGCCCATGGAGATAGAGTTTCACAAGATTTAAGTACAGTAATGGTGTCTTTCCACGAAGAAAGGACTACAAATGTGAGAAAAGCTTCAGTCTTAGAAATGAGATTTCCATCTTGAAGATCTTCTGTCATTTCTAGAAATTCTGAGGCGCATCTTAGTGGTGCTATGTTGTTAGGGTTCAAGTCCATTGGAAGACCATAACAAAATTTTAAAATGATTTCAAAGGTTTCTGATCCAGCTGGGAAGCTTTCAAGCTTGAGGTCATAGCCAAAATTTGAAATTGAAGGCTGAAATTCCAATCGACCAATGTAGCCACATTTTGATATCAAGGGATACTGTAAAAAGAAATGGAAATGAAACAGGAACCAATTGAGTACTTTGTATACATGTGTTTTCCCCTGGTTGCATATTATTATTTAGTTCCTATGAAATGTACTGTAAAAAATTGAAGTCATAAGACAAAGTTCATGCTGTGGCATTCAAGCTAGTGTGCAAGTTTGTCAATAATTTGTATGAAGTCCAAATGTAGGAAGTGATGCAGTCACCTATCATTGCTTTATAATTGTTGGGTTCAATCACTGTGTGTTCTCCTTGTAGATAATTTTCTTTTTTAAAGTATATGGCATGCATTCTGTATGTGCAAAATAGGAAGGCATAAACATTGTGATGAAAATAAAAAATTGGTTGATTCAATTTAAGCACTGAGTATTGTGTAGCGTGTACTGTTTAGATTGACTTTACCTTGATTGGCACATAAGTTATAGGAATTGATACTAGGAAAGAGTTATATGGCTGTCCCATGGTCAAGCAGAAAGGTAGAAAGAGAACACTCTAGTAGCTTCACTTGAAAATGTGCTTTTCGACGGTTAGTTTTGCTTTGATGTAGAAGAGGAAAATAAATGGCTCTGATATTATGAAACCACACAAAGATATTTTCAACAGAGAAAGAAAGGGAGGGTTCCTAAGTACTCTGTTATTTCAGTGTACCTTGATGACAGGACGTACTGGTTAATTCACTGGAAAATTCTTGCATGTGGTGTATGTATCTGTTCTGAATTATAATACATGGATCAAATATCAGTTCCGTTTGGGAAAAACATCATCTTGAATGTAACCTAGCATCTCTATTAGAATAACTATGATCATAAATTGAAGGCATGTGATGAGCTTAATATTTCTGGTGGTTTATGTATATTTGTACTGGAATTGTGTATTATGTAAGAAGTTTGGTTTTGCTTGCAATTTTCTCTAAACTTCTTGTATGCAAAGTTTTATGAGCTCTTTTAGGTATCAACTTATTGAGTATGTTTGTCTTGATTTGTAGTTACCTTGTGAACGTTAAAGGTGACATCTTGAACTTGAATTGTTAGGTCTGTTGGGACATGAGAAGTGATAAACCTGCATGAATTCACCAAAATAAAGAGTGAGAGGGATGAGAAACAGTTGAATAGGATATGGAGGTGCACAAATCTGTTGTTATTGAATGTTCTGCAAAAGAAATAATATTTTAGCCTAGATTTTCTCTAGGAGCAGTATAGTATAGATCTTTAATGATAAAAATGGGTTTCTTGCCAATTCTATGATGCAATTGTAGTTGTACCAGGAGTGTTCTTTCTTTTCGAAGCTATTTGCTATGGTGATGTGTTTGGAAGGAATTACGATGCTTTGTCTTTGAGTGCCCTCGTAATCGCTCTCAGGAGTTTGTGGTAGAGTTTGAGACTTCTTCATGGTGACTTGACTCCTTCGCTGGATATGTTTTTGAGTGACACTTCATTTGGATGAATAACATGATATAAGAAAATGGGATGTGATCTGAATAAATGCATGAGAAGTGAGTCTGTGGTTGTGATCAATGTACTCTTAAGAGAGTTGGTGGAGTGCCCTCTAACTGTTGCATGATCTGATTGTGACACAAGAGACTAATTTGGTTAATGTGTTATGAAAGAGACATGGAATGTGGGCTCTCTTATTCTTAGAGGTCAGTTATCGGCCATGTAAGTATGGAAGCAACCAACAGATGGTTGTGTGGTTATGAATATAGACAATCTCTTACATAATTTTGTGAATCTCTTGGTCACAAAGAATAATCAAGTATGAGTTGATGTAACATCTAGTCTACTAATGTTGCATGTGGATGACACTTCTCTAGAACAATGCGAAAGAAGTTGGATTAATATTTCCTCGATGGATTTTTAACCCATACAAATCAACACAATCTAAGTAACACCTCGTCAGAAAAATTCCCAAACCAAATGCGCGTATACACAAAAGCATTGCCCTTTTCTATAGCTATCCTGATTGTAAATGGTTGACAGATTTTAGTGCATGTTTGACATTGCTTATTTTGGGTGATAAGTGATTTTTAAAAAAATTTGGAAAGCCCAATTCGCTTTGTAAACTATGAGAAAATTACTTATTGTTAAAAATTGCTATGAGAAAAATCTATAAAGAAAAGCAGCTAATAATGTGTTTTTATTTTTTAATTATACGGAATTAGTTTTGAAGGGGTACTAAGTTTAATGATTATGCATGAATCATTTTCTGATTATGCGGAAATTAGTATTAACAACACTTTTAATAAAAAGTTTACCAAACGTCCAACAATTTTCTCTCACAGTTGATTTCCAGCACAGTAAATCTGACAACGATTATTTTCACAACACAATAATACCAAACTGAAAGTGGACAATTGTAATAACTCAAACCTTAATTAATATTTAACTATTAGTTTATTAAGGAGAAAGGACAATTTTGCCCTTGGACTAAGTTATTAAGGGAAAGTTGACTTTTGACCGGAGAAGAATTTGACCAATCCACTTGCACCGTTGGGTAGAGCGCGACGAAACGAGTCCGTAGACACGGAGTAGACTCAAAGCGGAGTTGTAACGAAGAAATTACGGTCAAAATACTTCAAGGGGCAAAATGGTAATTTTTCAAGCCAGATTTTTAAAAACACAGCTTCTCTCTCTTCTCCCCCAATTTCTTCTTCTCTCTCGTGCGTCCCTTCTCCAACCGTCTCCTTAAAAGCTCCATAACCACCGCCACCCTCCACTCCGGCCGACGAGATCGGACCCAATCAAACCACCGCCGCTTCCTCTTCTAAGTCCGACCAAGCTCAGCTGTCACCACCGCCAGCAGCCACCGGAAAACGCAGAAAATCGTGCGGGTTTTGACAGATTTTCTCATCGCTCGTTCTCCCTCGATTCTCCACCAAATCGGACGAGTGAGGTATGGTTTTCCAGGTATTTTTCGTAACTTAGCTGCTGGTTGGGTAGGATTTCAGAAATTTCAAGTGTAGATCGTTCGATTCTCAACTTAAGTTTCAGCCGGTTTTGAGGGTAGGATTCGGGCCACTTCCGGCCACTTTTTGGGGTAGGTCCAAGAACAAAAGTGATTCCAAATTGGGTGTTTTACCTAAGTTAGGAGTATGGGCCGGCGATTTGGAGTTTTTCCGGCCACCGGAAATCTCTCAAGCCACCCAAGCTGCCAGCGGTTACCAGGTGTCAGTTTTAAACAGGTTTCGACCCGCATTCCAAAGTGAAAATTGGGTCAGGTCGTTTCACGGATACTCCAAAATCGCGAACCCTAGGGTTAAGGGTTTAGAATCGTCGATAGTGTGATCGTGACAAATCTAACCCTCCGATCGAAACGAGATTCACGGGACGAATGTCCTAGCATTAAAGGAACGTAATGTGGGCATATGAATAACTTTAAATTGATGCACGCACTTCTAGAAGTCGGGGGTCAGAATTTTATTTAAATATTTATACCAAGCAGTTTTATTAATATATTTTAATATGGTATTTGAATCAGGCACTCGACACCAGTTGACCCGTAGGAGGGACCTCCCAAAGGTCCAGCGAGCTCGGACCAACCGTGAGTGGACTTTTTGTTTTCATAAATGAATTTATGCAATTTAGTTTCAATATTAGATCTTGAATAAGTTTTATTCAAAGACTAGTGTTTCATTAATGAGACATGCTTTTAGATATTATGATTTGCATGTTGCCGAGTGGCATATCCTTTAGGGATATAGAGAAAGAGAATTTTAGTTAAACACCAGATAAATGGCAGCAGAGTCCAGCCTTAACAGAAATTCAGTTATTTATAAGATCTTTAAAAAACTTTGCTTATTATTATTATTGTTACTTTCTAAGCCACCCTAGGTACCCAGATATACAGATGTTGCCTTCGGATATACTGATGTCCACGGACATCCAGGTTGCTTTCGGATTTTATCAGTTGCCTTCGGTTTAGTCAGCATACTTGACAGTTGCCCCACGAGTTCTATGGTACCCGGACTCGTGTGGAGCGAGGACGCGGATCAGGTTGACCAAAGTCCCTTGAATCCTCCGAGGTTGCGACTCAGATTGACTTTGTGTCACCGAGATCCGCGAGGATGTATCACGAATGGTGATGCGAGGGGAATTGACAGCATATCAGGAATTGACGGGTATCAGGAATTGACGGAAACAAATGGGTACATCTAGGTGGTAGTTTTAAACTGGTTTCAATGCTTTTAAGAGATTGATGTTGGCCATGAGCATGATTGGTATATTTATATATGTATATAAGAGTGCATTGGTTTTTGTACGTATATATAGAAGAGAATGATTTAGTTTTTATAACTCCTTTTACAGTGGGGTTAGTATGTTCATATGTATTTTCTAAACTTTATTTTTTGGTCCACTCACTTTTTCGATGTTTTGCGCCCCGAAGCTGTAGACGTGCATCCGAGAGCCACCACAGGGCAATTCCCGCCCGCGCTTCCCCATTTTGATGTAGGGTTCCTTGGTTCACAAGTGGTTACCTCCTTTGTAAATAAATCTGTATAGTTGCTCTGACAGTGCCCTGGAACGTATTTAACTGTTGGAACTTACTTATTTTTGTATACTGGCAGTTGGTGTATATATTTAAGTGTTTGTTGACAGGTGTAAATTTTGGGAACGTTCGATTTACAGGGGAGACTCTGCCGAATTTTCGGTAGAAGTCAGGATTTAAGGGAATTAAGTTTCTAATCAGAAAAAGGGCAACCAAGTCCATTGTGCTCGACACCCGCCAGGTGTTGATCACAAACAGGGTTCGGCTCGGATTCCAAAGTGGAATTTGGGTCGGGTCCTGTCAACTTGGTATCAGAGCATTAGGTTTAACTTCCTGTAGACTCCGCACTTCGTGTATTCCATCGTACTGAACATCTGTTTCTTGTGACAGTAAGCATGGGCCCTAAACGCGGTGGCTTCCGTAGAGGGACCAGACAGTCGTCCCAAGTTTGGGGACAGGATCCCTCTCCCGAGCAAGAGGAAATCCCCATTCCTATACCGGTGCCAGAACTGGTATAGCAATCTTTTGTTGGAGGTCCATCAGGGGCAGCTCCGGCTGTGCCCATTATGCTGGGAGATCCTAACTTCCAGCAGACTTTGGAGTTGTTGACTTAGGCTCTATCCAGGACCGGGCAGACTCGAGATCCCTCCTTGGGATATACTAATCAAGCTAAGAGAATAGGGGCCACAGATTTTGATGGTGATGGTGATCCAACAGTGGCTGAGGAGTGGATAGAAAGGATGGAGCGAATCATGGAAGTGATGAGGGTTCCCCAGAATCACAGAGTGGCGCTACCCACATTCTTTTTGGTCAGAAATGCTAGACATTGGTGGGAATCAGTTAAAAGGAGATATCCGGATTCATCGGCCATCACTTGGCAATTATTTTGAGCTGCATTTGATAGTCAGTATTATCCACTGGCTTACAAGAATTTGAAAATGGAAGAGTTTCTGCAGCTGGAGCAGGGAGCGATGACAGTACTTGAGTATGAGAAGAAGTTCAATGAATTGTCTAAGTATTATGTTCCACTAGTAGAGGATGAAAACAAGAAGTGCCAGTTGTTTACTAGAGGGTTAAAGGCCTCCATTCGAGACATTGTGATTAGTCAGCGGTTGACTAATTTTCGTGATGTTTGCTTTACTAATAGAGAGCAGCCAGATGATGGTCAGAGCAAGGGGTGAACCTCGTAGGAGACAGTTTGATATGGACCAGTCAAGGGTCATCCAAGAGAGGTAGTTATAGCTATGGGTCATCTAGTGGCCGCAGTTACGGAGGTTTCCGACCCGGATTTAGTTCTAGTGGAGGTTCCAACCAGAGTAGCAGTTCTAGGAACCGCTTTGGAAGGGGTGTAGCCAGAGGTACTGGGAGACAGCTACAGACAATTTCTAGTAGGGGGAGGTATTGCTGGAGGCAGATTTGATTCCCTTGGAAATGGTTGACTTGGATGTCATTCTAGGGATGGATTGGTTAGCCAGACATCATGCCTCAGTAGATTGCTTCTGAAAAGAGGTTGTTTTCCGTAGTCCTGGACGACCTGAAGTGACATTTTATGGCGAGCACAGAGTGCTTCCATCTTGCCTCATCTCAGCTGTGACGGCAAAACGGTTGCTTAGAAAAGGGTGCTCAGGATATTTAGCACATGTGATTGATACCAGAGATAAGAGGTTGAAATTGGAAGATGTTCCAGTGGTACAAGAGTTTCCGGATGTATTTCCTGAGGATCTTTTTGGGCTATCTCCCTCAATTAATAAAATAATCTCTTAATAAACAGTCATGATTTTAACTCTCAACCTTTTACTATTTTATCCCAATCTGTACTTTAATATATTTCTAGAAAAACTATAGAAACAGTAAGTACCCAAACAAAAATTGGTCCTTAGATTTTAAGCTAAACAACTTTAATTAGC